TTTTTTTTTTTTTTTTTTTGGAGACAGAGTCTCACTTTGTTGCCCCTGGTAGAGTCCTGTGGTGTCCTCACAGCTCACAGCAACCTCAAATTCTTTGATTCGAGCAATTCTCTTGCCTCAGCCTCCGGAGTAGCTGGGACTACAGGCATCCACCACAATGTGTGGCTAATTTTTCTATTTTTAGTAGAAACTGGTGTCCTCTTGCTCAACCTGGTCTCCAAACTCCTGAACTCAAGCAATTTGCCCACCTTGGCCTCCCAGAGTGCTAGGATTACAGGTGTAAGCCATTGCCCCTGGCCTAGAAGGGCATATAGTTGACTTGCTAGTTGTTTTAAAAACAATAAAGAGCCTTTTTTTTTTCTTTCAGTTTTTGGCCCAGGCCGGGTTTGAACCTGCCACCTCCGGCATATGGAGCCAGCACCCTACTCCTTTGAGCCACAGGTGCCAGCCACAGTGAAGAATCTTTAAAACAGAGTTTTCCTAAATGTTTTTGCCTTTGCCCAGAAGAAGAGGTACAATTTACATGACCCAGTAAACAAGCCCAAATTGAAATAGAGGCAGAGAGTGTCCCCTATTTCCTATTTTATTCTTTTAGTTATATTAATTTGCTGGTCAAGAGCCACTAAGTTGTTTTTATACCCTACTATGACTGCTTATCATGACTGGAAGCTGACCTCGACCTGAGCCAAGGATTTCAGTGCAAGCAGTTTCAGAGGTAGTGCCGGGACACAGGGAAGATCTGGTACGGGGGCTTATTCCTGCAGCCACTGGAGGCCACAGGCTCTGCAAAAGTGTGTGCGCCCCGCTGTGTGTGTGTAGGGTGCATGGGCAGGCACTGACAGCAGCTGCACCACTAAAGGCTGTCACCTGCAGTGTGTTAACACCTGCATCAGAGTGACAACATACCCAACTGGGACTGCAGAGTCCCCATGGGGAACCCTCACTGCCCAGCAAGCAAGGAAAGCAAAGGGAGAATTAAAGGGGGGACTGGGCTTTGTGATCGCACTAGTCAAGCTGGAGGACTGTAAAACAGAGAGGTGCTTATTCTGAAAAGGAGAAGAGGCAGAAAAACGGAGCCTTTAAAGAGAACTGTGACAACTCTTTCCTCCCAAGTATGAAGATATGGTCACCAGTTTGGCGCCAGTATCAGTGAGATGGTGAGCCTGGATGTGGAGGTAGGAGTAAGTTGTCTGAAAATAGAGATTATTTTACTTCTTCTTGTTTAATTTGGCATTTTGTATTTCTTTCTCTCGCTTAATGGCCCTGATTAGATCCACCAGTATGAGGCTGAATACAAGTGACAATACAGGACAACTCTGTCTTGGTCCTGACCTTAGAGGGAAGGTTGTTATTTGTTCTTTCACCAATGAAGTATGGTGTTAGCTGCAGGGTTTTCACAGATGGTCTTACCATGGCAAGGAAATTCCTTTGTGTTCTCCATTTGTTGAGATTTATTATGAATTGGTGTTGATTTTTTTCAAATGCCCTTTCTGCATCTATTGAGATGATTAATAAAGATATTTTATTATGGTGGATTCCATTAATTGATTTTTTTTTTTTTTTGAGACAGAGTCTCTGTTGTCCTTGGTAGAATGCTGTGGCGTCAAACTCTTGGCCTCATGTGATCCTCTTGCCTCAGCCTTTCAAGTAGCTGGGACTATGGGCACCCACTACAATACCCTGACTTTTTTTTTTTTTTTTAAAGTGATGGAAGTCTCACTTTTGCTCAGGCTGGTCTCTAACTCCTGAGCTCAGGTGAGCCACCTACCTCGGCCTCCCAAAGTGCTAGGATTACAGGTGTGAGCCTTTTCTGTTGAATCTGACTAGTCATCGATAATTGATGTGAGGCAGGTCTCTGAAGACTGGCTCTTTCGTAGAACCCAGACATCGATTCCTTGAAGGACCTTTAGGTGCCTCCCACGGAGCAGTTCACTGGCATGGCCACTCATGGCCAGGAGCTGATTCCACCTCACAGCTGGGCCACAGTGTTATTACCAACGGAAGTGACATGAACATCTGGGCCTCAAGGTCAAACCCTGGTGCTTATCTGCCTTTTGTATAGATGAGATTTACATGAGATACTCAATCATGGAATTGCCCCTGCAATGGAATACCCTTCACCCCACAAACAGAAGAAAGTCCTGTCATCTGTGACAACATGGATGACCCTGAAGGACATCGTGCTAAGTGAAATAATCCAGGCACAGACAGACAAATGTCATATGATCTCACTTACAGGTAGACTCTAAAAAAGCTGAACTCATAAAGCAGAGAGGAGAATGGTAGTTGCCAGAGGCTTGGAGGTGATGGAGGTGGTCGGGCAAAGGACACAAGATTTCAGGTGACAGGAGGAATGGGCTCAGGAGGCCCTCTGTCCATGTGGTGATTATAGGTGATAACAGTGTATAGTATAGTTGGAAATTCCTGAGAGAGTGGAGTTCTAATGTTCTCACTACAAGAAAATAAGTATATCAGGTAACACATAGGCTAATTAGCTTGATTTAGTCATACAATGAGTGCATATTTAAAACATCATCTTGCCCACTGTAAGTATATACAATTTTTATTTATCAATAAAAAATTTTTAAAAGAATTGTCCCTGCATTTTCTGATAGCAGCTAATCTATCTTCCCCCCCAATTATGAAACCAAAGCTTAAACCTGTACTAAGTTCTAACACTCTTTTTCTGAGACACCCCACGGTTCCATCTGGTGTCCAGTGCCTCAAGAACAAAACCCAGCTGATTCCACTCAGCTGTGCTCCTGATGGTCTTTGGCCGAAGAGAGGGATGCATGAGAGATTTGCCCTCTGGTTCCATGTTTTCTGCCCAGGTCAGCTCAGTATCCTCATCCCAACCCATGGTGTTCTCCCAAATCCATTGTTGATGGGTCCTGTACCTGCCAAGCACCCTTCTCGGTGCACACATACCCAGGACTTTGGTTCAAGTTTTACAGATGTTTAGATGCAGGGAGCTGCTGGGAGGTGCAGGGGAGAGGCGAGATTAGTGGTGCAGGAGGTCGCTGAAGGAGCAAGAGGGAATCAGCAGCTGTGGGATGGACTTGAAGGAGGAACGTAGTTTCCACAATGCGGCTGTTAGCCTCTTCGGTCCTTTACAGGGGTTATGAAAAAGCCCCCCTACTGGGCAGATGCAGCACAGAGAGCTCAAGCCTCAACAAGCAGGTGGACTCAGCCCAGCAGGTGGAGGGAGGCCTGAGTCACAGCCTCGTTCGCTCCTGGGGTGGGCGCCCTTGTGCAATATGCCAACTGTGTAGCCCTGGAATATGACCTCATGCTGACGTTGTGTCTGGTACAGAATTGGTGCTCAATTAAAAAATGTTAAAAATAAATGGGCCAAAGGGAAGATGGTTTGGAAGTTACTACTACCAACTACTACTACTACCTGGGCAAAACTCAGGGAGGGCTTTAGGTCCGTTGTGGCAGTGGGAATGAGGTAGAAGCCATATCCCTTGTTGTCCGCACTTTTGTAAGCCAAAGGGGCAGTGTTTATAATTGGGGGGGGGACCCTAGGTAAAAACTGAGACAATAGGGACTTAGGGTCATCCTAAATGGAGGGAGAGGATGGAACAGAGAGCTTAGAGGAGTAGAATGTGTGGGCCTAGAGTAACTGACTCTGGGAGGAAATTAAGAGAAACCTCAACATTTCTGGCCTGGGAGACTGGGTGAAGGCTGCTGCCAGCCTGCTTTGTGTCGGGGGAAGACATCAGCTTGATTTGTCCTTTACCAGTCATTTCTGGAGAGGGCGGGGGCTGCCTAGCATCACATCACATTGCTTTTCAGAGACATTGCAGGGCATTTGGCTGAGAGA